AAGCGCCCCGGTCCCGAGAGGGGCGGGGGGAGCGCGGCCGAGCCGGGGCAGGGCCCGCGCTGCGCGTCCTCTCGCCGCAGTCGGAGCGAACCCGAGCGTGCGCTTGAGCCGAAGCAGTTTCTCGGCAGAAGTTTCAGAAGAGATGCGCGGAGTGCTCCTGCTCAGTTCTATGGCTGCTACATAATTTTACAACAGCGTAACTGGTTACAGCAGATGCACGTTTAAACTTTTTGCCTCTTTCCACCGACTTGCCCTAGCAGGGACGCTGAGATACATCCAGTGTTTGCTGTGTATGTTTAACAGCTCAATGATACTGTAACAGGTAGTTGGTAAAATCTTTGGTCAATAATAGATTGGGTTGCTTAAAGGAAAAAGTTGGCTTTTCGAAGAGCTGTACAGAGTACCTCTAAACTTTGCCATAACTGACTGACATTACTCAGCTACTGCTTTGCTACACTTTCCTTGTGTAACAGATTGTTCGAGGGTTGTGAGTAGGGGGGTAGGAGGTAACTCACTGCAGTTTTGTAGTTGGACTTATACCTGTTGATATATATTTCTGTAAAGATAAAAAACATCACCAGCACTCTTGGATAGTAGTCCTTAAAAGGGCACAGCTGAATTTGAAGTGTATTTGCAAGGGTGAATAAGAGAATGGGGGGAGACTTTCTGCACAAAATTTCCATATCTTTTCATAAATATATATGTATCTATGTTCATTGTCTATTCATTCTATCAGCAGTAGAATTTCGGCTTCTTCAAGCTAAGTTTCTTGATGTTCTTAGGCTTCATTGTCAGTAAGACCATTTCTGTAACCAAAACAACCCTCGGAATATGTTCCCTGCTGCTGCAACCTGTTTGTTTCAGAAATGTTTGACTTGAAGATATCCAGAGGACAGATCTGGTTAATAATAAGTTGCCATTTTAATAAATGCCTTTTAGGGAGGTGACTAATACAGGATTTATGCTGTAGTGCAATTGCTTTCAACTTCTAAAAATTTCTTAGTGGAACTCTGTATAACAACTCAGAAGCCTACTGATTTTGGTTTGGTGTGTTGGTTATTTTTCTAGTTATCTTTCACAAACTACAGGTTGAAACCCACTCCTGTAAGTTTCCTTCGTGTGATGTACTCAGTCAGCTTTATGATTAAGTTTCCCCCAATTGTACAAGGAAGTTATATTAAAAACAAAGCCACGAAACCACTCAATTTATATGCATCTTGAGTATGCTTTAAAACAGGAAAATGTCTTGAAACATTGTGATTCAGTAACGTGCTATTATCAATAAGTAGAAGAATGTTTGCTGACTGTCCTGTGACTTTCACATTTGCTGCTGGTCCTCTTTGGTGCAGCTGCAGCTTGGAAGCCATAAATGAAAACTTACATTTCAGAAATGGAAACTATGCCTAGTTCCAAAAAATTCCTGTATAGGAGAAACGTAGAGTATGTTAGCTGGAGTCACGAATCAAATTATTTCAGGTAGGAGAGTAACAGCTCAGGACTAAGGAACTTATTTGCCAGATACGCTTTTCCCGTGAGCAATGGGAAATCTGTTGTTGTTTGAGGGATCTTGCCCCCAAAATAGATTGTCTTTCTGAAGTCTCAAGAACAGCTACAATCCCTAGGCACCTAATTTTACATTAATATGTCTGAAATAATGTATGTCCTGATGCATCCAAGCAGCTTGCAGCCCAAATGAAAATTAGGCTCAGCTTAAGAGGCCGGGTACTTAGCATGGTGAATTGCAAAAGATGTCAGAATACATACAACTTGGGTGTTGTGATGCCTAATTCCCTCTTTGGGTCTTATCTAAAGAGCTTATCTGTATCTCTAAATGATTTCTAAAACATGGCTTTGTGCAGACAAGGTTCCTTAAACACAGGGTTTCTCTCGTTCAGGGTAACTTCCTTTTCCCCTACTTCTTTATCTCTGTTATAGAAAAGAGTTTCATTAACCTGTGAAGAGGTGCAGCATAGTTCTTGTGTAACTAACAAGTCTTTAACTTGATGCCCAGCTCATGCAAAAGCTATACTTTTTTTGTTTTGTTCTGTAAGTCCTTTTCAGAGATAGCATCTTGACCTTCCAGCCATACCTTTCTTCCAATACATGAAGATTCACTGAAAATACCATGGCTGCCTGGGGGCTGTTACTCAACAATTTTGGTACCTCAGAGTCTATAGCTTTGGAGTAATAAAAAGGGTTGGAAAGAAGAGTGGAGTTTTTGCTGGGATGTTGTAGGAAGGGCTGAGAGCGCCTCTTACGGCAGTGTTTTGGTCTCACATTAGTGTGAGCTGATCGTGGAACTGCATCTGACTGCCCCTCAAAATATTGTATAGGAGATGTAATTCTCTTCCTGCCCCCTGCCACTGCTGTGGTAGAGGCAGAAGGTTGGTAGCTCACATTTTCCCTTTGCTGATCCTTTCTCCTCTGCTTTTTTTTTGGCTAAGCTTTGAAGAAGAAATATCAGGTAAACTTACTGTATAAATTACTGCCAGAGATGACCACGTTGATTATCTACTTTAAATGCTGCTTAGATTTTGGGTAACTAGAAGGTAAAAGGGACTCTAGACATTTCTTGAGGGTACCTTAAGACCAACCATTACCAGTTCAGCTTAAACCCAGTCTTTATTAAGATTTTTAGGTCTTCTGCTCATTTTACTTGCAGATTTCTTGGAGTTCGTCTGCTGGCTTAAGCAATGGAAAAGATGCTGCTCCCTCCTATGTGCACCTAAGAAGAGAAAGGTCCGAATTCTAATTCGTAAAGCAACCCAAAGCTATTTGTGTGGCTGTATGCCCTTCTAGGATGGGCTTCTGGGTTGCTCTTGAGGCTTTTCTGTTTTGCATTGGCTCACAAATAATTCTGTAGGCCAGCAAAGAGAGGATAGCTGCTCTTTCTTTAGCTGAAACAGACGTTGTAGAGGCCGGTGGTCAGGACAGCTGCTCTGGGGGAAGGTGATCTGCTTTCATTTCCCGTTTCAAGGAACACTTGACTGTGCGATTTACTCTGGGCTGTAATGACACTATTTGTCATAGTGAATGTGAAATTAAAAATGGGAGAATTTGTTAGAGACATTCGCAGTAATTACTGAGGTAATTCTCTCTGAAGGTTTGGAAGAGGGATGGAGGCCCAGGAAAACTGGAGGTCTGTGCTCTCGTTACTGTAGCGCTTCAGAGCTAAAGAGCTTTAGTCCATTACCTTGCTCTCCAATGTAATTACCTACCTCTTAATTCATTCTTGATAGATGGATATACCTTATTCTCTATTATGGCATTAAAGTCTCTTTCAAACTATAGCACAAAACTCTAATTTTTGTAGGACTGTAAGTACACTAACAGGTAGCGTGGGACGTTACGGTGTGTTTAAAATGTGAGGGAGGATGGGTTGCGATAGGTGCGATCAGGGAAGGGTTGCCTGGCAGAGGTGAGCAGGCAGAGCCTTGCTTGAAATTTCCTCCTGAGCTAGGTTGAAAGGGGTTTTGGAGAAACGGCAGCAGCCATGGGGATTTTGAGGGGCAGTTGTTTTGTTTCAAAGCTGTTTTGCAGTTGTAATCAAGCCTTTTAATAAAACACTTAATAAATCCATTCTTTCATGTCCGTGGACTCTGTGGGTTTCTGCTGTTGCTTTCATCTGCAGTATCAGTGTTTGAAAGACCTAATTTGAGATTTTATTTCTGTAATACAGAACTTAATACAGTCCTAGCATATAATAGTAATTCGAAGTTAGGAAGTAGCTGTCAAGGAGTAGAGAGTTGTTGGATTTGGGTGTTTTTGTTTGGTTTTAGTTGTTTACTTAGCTGCTTTTTGTTGTAGGGATCGGAATAGAAACATGCATTTTCTTAAAGCTGTGAAAGCTATAACTATTTGCTGTCTGTCTGAAGGTATTTTTCATTAGCAGGGTAATACATGAAGTTGAAAGAATGCTTATTTAATGGTATACTATTGAAAAATTCATATGTATTAAAATGCGTATAAAATGTTTTCCATTTTGTCTGCCTGGAATTAGTGAGAGATTGAACATTTATTTTCTTTCTTTTTCTTTAAGATCTTGAAAACTTTACGAGGTCATTGAGAGAGAAAACTACATGACACTACACCATGAGTGACAGTAAATGTGATAGTCAGTTTTACAGTGTTCAAGTTGCAGATTCAACATTCACTGTACTAAAACGTTACCAGCAATTGAAGCCCATAGGATCAGGGGCACAGGGCATTGTTTGGTGAGTAATAAGTACTTTATTTAAATATAAAAAGCTGTAAATATAAAAGAAAATTTGAATGTATTCCTGATAGAGATGCCAGAATGTCAAACACCGATGATAATTTCTGTTCTCTTGCTACAGGATTATGGACTAAATAAATTCTAAAACAACTGCTTGCTGTAGTTCATGTGCAAACCTTTTTTTTTTTTTTTTCTTTTTAGGAGAAAATTAATATTTGGATAACTGCATAAATTAAAATGGTCAACAAATTTCCTTCTCATTAACCACTTTATCTCTGTTTCTAGTTCTCACATTCCCCATGTAGTTATGATATTGCAGTGTAAGGTATGACAATGCGATGGTGAGAGATTCTGGGTTTTACTCGTTTCTTCATCATGGCCCCCTTTCTTCCCCCCCTTTTATTCCCGATCACTCCTGTCCATTTCTAGGAGCCATCAATGCAGTGCCTTGCCATTAACTGGCAGGATGAGGCAAATCAGTGTCATTGTCACTCCATGGATTAACCAGAAAGGGATGCTGTGTGAGGGGTTGGGCTGGCCGGCTCTTCCTTGGTGTGTCACCTCAGCTATGTGTCCAGCCTCCACTGGCCCAGGACGTGAGAGTCGTTAGTCTGATCCTGAACCTTAGTCTCTTGTATGGCACCACACCTCTGGGCCAGCTAAAGGTAAACACTTTCAAATGTTTTTTTCAGACTGCAGCAATCCATTCGCCACGACTTAGTGCCAGCCCATATTTTGTTGGGCAAAACGTACTTGGTAACAGCAGAAATGTTTATGAATGCGATTTTATAATTCCATACACAGGGGAGCAAACAGATATACTCAGGAACTCTCTAATATTAGACTTAATCACAACACATGGTGGGCTGTTCGTGCTTTAAATCCAGTCTGCAATTTCTCTTCATCTATAAATTCTGCAGGATAGGTGTGATGCGTCACGTATTGTGAGTAGCTCTTTATACAGCACCTGCCTGTGTCTTTTGGCCTTTTCATAACCATAATGGGTTATATCTGTAGGAAAACAGTACATTCTCGTGAGAACAGGCCTTTATTTTTAATTTATTTAGATACCCCTATTGCCCTGCTAATAGGTGAAAAATAAAATAAGAACATCGTATTTCATTCTTTAGTGGAATGAGGGGGTACGCGTACTAGATACTGGTTATTAGTGTTTGGGTAAGATTTAGTATAGTGCTAACATCTTCCAGGTATAAATATTCTTAGTTATGCTTGTTCTAGATGGCATGCAGGAATTTAGGGTGGTTTCAAGTGTTCTTCCTCTCATTAGAAGTGTTGCATTTTTAAACTTAAACTAGGGGTGTGCTTCAAAATTAAGTTAGGGTACTGTTAATGTCAACATTTTGTGAAAAAGGAGGAATTACCTGGTTTATTGACAAGATTTATGGAACAAGGGAGCGAAACATTGCGTAAATTTTCGTCTTCATGTGAAACATCTGAAAACTACATCCAAGTTGAAGAAGGTGCAAAATCTTAATTTCTCCTGAAGTTCCTTATAGTGCACAGAGGAAAGATACAAAATACTAGGATGTAAAATGTAGAAAATTCTGTGTAAGATGAGCGCTATCCTGACATGTTTGTCTGGAAAGATTGCTAAGTCATTAGTGTGACACACAGATGTGATGATTTTATTTTTTTTTTTATAATCCAGTGTTTAAGATAAAAAAATTAGGAGAAGTATTTCTGGAGTTTTGTGTGTGGATTTTATTTTTTTTGGTGAGAAATTTTTAATACCACGTGTGTCACCTCAGCTAGGAGAGGTCTGAGGTTTGCTATTTTTTGCTTAAAATATTAATGGGAAACTCCCATTGGTATTGCTTCTGCTTAGTTTTTTCTTTGATATTAAAATTTAGGAAAAGAAGTAATTTTAAAAATACATACTTAAGAAAAATGTTAAATGAAAGCTCTGGGAAGATGAAAAAGGAGCTCAGTTGTTACGTAGAGGATATTTATAGCTCACACAGCGAACAGGCTAGGAGAGAGATTGGATATACCTTTTGTGTTTTATACATAAAGTACAGTTTTATACGCGACTTCCTGCACTACTGTTCCAAAGTATTAATTCATTTGAAGTTTTATAATCTATTTAGGACTGAAGAATCTCTTACACAAAATTATTCTTTTGAAGTAATTTTTGTCTTCAACTTCCTGATATCTTTTTTCCTTTCTTGTCCTTGATTTCTGAAATTTTCTAGTGAATCTGTTTTTTCTATCTCAGCAAATCTCTTTTGGCCTGCAGTGCAGCAGAATCGTGATCTTTATAAATAGCATAGCTTTAACTGTGGTGATAACTTTACTCGCAGTTGAAGAAACAGTCGGGATAAGTTTGTTACTATTTGCAAATGCTGTTTAGACAGTAGAGAGTTGGCAAAGTGGAACTGGCAGAGCAAGAGTCCATAAGAGTAGCATATTGCAGGTCAAAGCTAAGGTCATTTGCCTACAGAAATGAAGTGTGATTGCCTACTATAATTTAGGTCATAATGCTTTGTTAATAATTTCATCATGTGTCTGGCATCACTACTCTTACATTAAATGTTTGGTCAAGATGCAAAACTATCACAAGTGCAGTGAAGACCCTGCTACAGTTCATTGGCATCAAATTGGAATGGCTGTTATACGGTGTGGTAGACACTGAGATTCTTCCATGATATCAAATGTTGAAATAAATTATAGACATTCAGTTAGTAGTCAAGGTGATAACTGGGTAGACTGACAAATCTGCTTTTTTCAAATCTGTGCCTGAAACAGTTGCCATGATGAAAAAGTCTCTTGAATTCAAATGAGCTGGCACGGGGAAAGAAATTTAACACCAGTTACATCTATGATTTTTTTTTTTGTTCATTTATGTAAAATTACATGATACTTAGAAGTGTAATCTTAGCAGTAATAGTGGTCATAGAGGTTATAATCTGTCTCTTTTTTTTTTTTTTTTCCTTGGTAAATTAAATAAATGCATGCTCACACAGGTTTTTTTACAATTGTTTTTTTTCTTCTACCATTCTGTTGTTTTTAATTCTTCCCCTTGGATTGTGTAGGTAGCAGACAGATATTTTTTTTCTTTGAGATGCAATATCAGTCACTCCCATGCAGATGAGCAAAATAAGAGGTTCACGTGGAGTTCTTCATATGTGCTCAGGCTGAGCCTTGCCATATACCTGATGTGTCAGATCACAAAGGGACACTTCCCCTGAAATTGCTCCTTTGTCCACTGCTGACCTGTGATTGACTCAAACAGCTAATTCATGCAGATGCTGTTAGCTATTGATTTTATTCTAATTCCCAGGTGTAGTTAGTAATTAGCATATGCAGAACTCTTATTTTACATATAGTGTCTTCTATTTGAAGTGAATACTGAAACATCAGTGCTTTCATATTTGGGAGGAAAATAATTTCTCCAGTTGTCTGGCCAGTTGCCTTCCTCCCATTTTGTGTTTTGTTTTGCACAGACATAAAGGCTTTTAATCTGAGAGTGATCATATCAATGAATTAATGATTTACATATTTCACAGAACTAAGTTGAAGTAAATGCTAGCAAGCCCTTAGTGCGAATGCACGTTGATTCAAATTTGGGACATAGAATTTGGGACATGTAATTTGGGATGTGCCTCCAAGAAAACATAACATCTCATAGATGAGCCCTCCTTTGTGGTGGTATTGCTTTTTCCAGTAGCGAAAGTAGTGACTTATGTTGGTAAACTTCATATAATTTGAGTATTGTTGTTATCACAGAGGAGCTGTATGTTTGGTAAAAGGACCATCATATTATAGTATTCTTAAGTCTAGTATTGTACATATCTTGATGAGGTAAGGAGGGAGCTCACAAAGAGCTTAAATGGGCTTGGAAAATATATGTGAATGAGAATTGTTTTCTACCCTATGAAAGTAACATTAAATGGAAATAGAGTAATGTGGGAATCTTACTTAAGACTGGAACTATTTAAAGATTGGAACTCCTGAGTCGTTTGTGGTATGAATTCACATATATTTTACTGAATAGTCTGTGTGTTAGTAATGAAGAATATTTGCACTTTAGTTTTGTTCTGTATATACAGATAATTTAGCTTTAGATTTTGACAGCTATTAAAGCAAGTTTATGTCTGTACTTCAAACTGCAGAGGGAAGGAACAAGCTCAGCTGAAAAATAAGATAAAATTAATGGTCATATTCACTCTTAAACCCTTGTCTTGCTCCCTGCAATCTGAGTTTTCCGTATTACTCAATTTTATGGATTTTTTTTTTTTTCCAAAACAAGATGATGAATGTAACTTTCTGCTAGGCACTAAAATTGCTTATAATTGTAAACTATCCACATACAGGAGAGTATTGATGCCTGCAGAATGGATCATGGAGACACAGTTGTAACTTTCCGTTAGGAAAGAGAAATTTCTATTGCAAATACTAAATGATTGCTAGTCAGCAGCAGTGTCCCAAAAAAAAACCCGCCTCCAAATATACAGATTAGGCAACTGAAATGCTTCTTGATTTCAAATAAGCTTAAAATATTTTTAGATCTTGCAGTTTTGAATGAGAGTCTTGAGTCAGCAGATTTGGTCTTAAAACAGAAAGGAGGGCAGGAATACTTCTGATGAGTGTCAGTGGCTTCTGTTTTACCTCTGTATTTATTAAAGGATATGTAGATTTTAAAGGATGTTTGTTTTCTAAATGGAAATTAGTTGAAGTTAGTATAAACACCTTAGTGGATATGCTTTGTCTCAAATCTTGATTTCTTTCCTTGCTCCCATCTCCCTTTTGCCCCCTACTTTCCCTCAGTCTTTAACTGAAATTTTTTGTCTTTGAAAACTTCTAGTGCTGCATTTGATACAGTCCTTGGAATAAATGTTGCTGTAAAGAAGCTGAGTCGTCCTTTTCAGAATCAAACCCACGCAAAAAGAGCTTACAGAGAGCTTGTTCTTTTAAAATGTGTCAATCACAAAAATGTAAGTTTGGCTTTGTATTTCTCTCCCTCATTACTGTAAGCTGTCTAAAATGCTCAGGATTTGCTCTTTTACTTGCTGTTAATAACCGAAGTAATGGAAAAAACGGTGAGAGAGAGAGACTGGAAAGATTTGCTATGGGTAATGCACTTCTCCACAATGTATGGTTAAGTTCTTGGCTGAGCTGTTTGGGGTATGAAGTGCCAAGAGGAGGAGGGTTTTGCTGCATTGTTGGTATAGGCTTACCATCAGCGTCGGCTTTATAGAGCTGGCCTTGCTGTATTGCCTTTCCCCTTTTAAGTTGTACTGCAGCAAAGCCTGTTTGGCAGTGGGATTGTTTGTGGGCTTGGCTCTTGTAACTGCACTGTAGTTAAATCTTCTGAGCTTAGGCAAGATTTTTATTAAATACAGTGTGTAACTGGTGGGGGGTGCAGCACTGTCTAACAATTTATTGGTAAACAGAATTGAAAGCCTTAACGTCAATACTTCAATGTTCAAGTACAAGAACTTAAGGTTTATGTGACTGTTACGTTCTGATACTACCATGAACTAGAAACATCGCTGATCATTGAAACCGTGCAGTCAGGTCTCAAACTTCCTGGATCCAATTAGCCTTTTAGGATTTTTTATTTTAAAGTAAGCTTCTGGTGAAATCCGGAAGTAACAGAATAAAAACAAGGTGATTGTTAAAGATGTACAGTAATTTTAGCAGTTCTTCTAGAAATAGTACATCATAATTTAACGGGATTGCATGGGCACCTCACCTCTGGGTACGTGTTGTTGGACAGCCTTGGTTAAAATTTCTTGCATAGCATGTGATTTAAAATAAGAGGTTATTATTTATGTGGAAAAAATGGAATGTATTTCAGGCACTGGGGAGGGAGATAGAAGGTGTCATATAACTTTAAAAAGAAAAAAGTGGTTTTGTCCTGTCATAGTTCCTTTGGCACACATGCTGCAGTTTGGAACTATTTCTGAATTGGCAGTTTTTCAACACATGTGAATTAAGTGAAGCCAAGTTAACATTCAAATTGTCTATAGTAACAGTGTACGTTTGATTTTGAGTAGTAACTTCTCCGGTAGTGGATTTTTATGTGAATTAAAGAGGATTTTTCTTCTAACATTTATTTTTATTTTATAGATAATTAGTTTATTAAATGTATTTACACCACAGAAGTCACTAGAAGAATTTCAGGATGTGTAAGTACTAGATTTTTGTGTTAATCTTCCTGAAAAATACTGGCCTAAGCCCTAGAGCTGTATTTCCAGTATCCTGCAGACTTCACACTTTTAAAACAGAAGGTAGTTAAAGGCATAATTTAGCCTTTAATTAGTCTTTATTTCTAAATTTCTTTAAGAAAGACCAAGAAAGCTGTTTCACTATGTGTAAGATGGAAGTGGGAAATGGAAAAGGTTCTTTACCTTTTACTCATCCATCTGCCATACTTTGCTGACTGCGTGTGCATCTGGTTTGTGTGTATTGTCGTTTAGTTAAATGGGTCACCTTGGGATAATAACTTGGTCTGGATAACCTCATACCGCTTTTTTGCCATGCCAATCATATCAGCACAGCAGTATTTTTGGCCTCAATTAAGAACTGAATATATTTCTTTTTTATGCAAGCTATGTCAGTTGGTCTAGAAAGGATTCACAGTGATTTAATTGGAGGGGTATTTGTGGGTTCCAGTGAATGTGGTGTTGTGGTTTGTGAATGGGCTTTGTGGGTAAACGGGGGAATGTGTGTGTCTGAAGTGGGTAAGCAGATGATATTTTAACTTGAAAATTAATCATTCATTCTTAGTTCTTACTGTGCTTTTCTTAATTTTCTTATTAAAAAAAATAAAATACAGTGAAAGGAATCATCATTTTTTGATACATTGCAATATCTGCAATTTCTGCATCAGCTTCAGTTAGTTTTTCATGCTGCATAAACTGGGAATTCTTCTGTATTACTGTTTATAAAACTAGTGGAATTCTAATCTCTTGTGATAGACTATGGCGCGCTTAAGTTTTAATAGTAAGACTGTTTTTGAATAGATAATAATTTAATTTTGCAACTGGCCATGCATGATTTTTTTAAATCATAAGCTTTTTGACAGTTATGTTAGCAAAGTAATTGACTTCTATTAAACATCTCTCATGCTAAGCTTAAACCTGATATGAATAGTAAGACTTGTTTTCTTAATGCTTTTTTTTTCTTGTGCTTTAGATATTTGGTTATGGAGCTGATGGATGCAAACTTGTGCCAGGTTATTCATATGGAATTGGATCATGAAAGAATGTCTTATCTTCTTTACCAAATGCTATGTGGTATCAAACATCTCCACTCAGCTGGTATCATCCACAGAGTAGGTAGTATTAGATGATTAACAATACTCTTAATGAACACAGATGTTCTTATGAAACGGGGGAAGACAAGGAGTTGCTATTTCATAAGTTTATATTTCTTTTATGCATAAGAATATTATTAAACCTGAAGATTTTTTCTAGTTCAAAGATAAAGACTATATTGTAAACAGATCTTAAATTGGGTTAGCTCTGTGGATTTAACTGATGCTGAACTGATTAAAAGATAAAACATGACTATGTGGACCTTTCAAATTACTAAAGAATGAGTGTTTAAAATGTAATATTTACCTCTTAAATGTCTCTATCCTTGGAGATACTTAAAAGCTGTCTGGACATGGTCCTGGGCAACTGGCTGTCGGTGGCCCCGTTTGAGCAGGGACCTTGCACCAGATGACTTCCAGAGCTCCCTTCCAACCTCAACCACTCTGTGATTCTGAAAAGTAAAATTTATAAATTATCAGAATTTGAGAGTCCTGTGCAGACTTCATATATTTCTCTGCTTCTGTTGTTGTGCTGCTGCTGCTCCTTTTTTTTTTTTTTTTTTAATTTCATGACTAGTCTAAGGGTTCTGCTTGTTTTCTGTTCCTTTCTTTTTCTTCCCCGACTTCCTGGACATACTTTCAAATTTCTTTTTTGCCTGGTGGCTGAAAACTCTACTCAGTTCTGGCTTCATGGGCTTTTTTTCTTTATGTTCAATCTATAAACATAGTTGAGAAGCTGTATAAATTACAACAGATCTACTTCCTTACTTTGTTGAAAAAAATCTACCATGAAAATCCTGTGGTATTACCAAGGAAGTTATATATAGTTAGCTTAAGTCTGTGTCCAGATAGTCTTGGTACCGGGCTTTCCTAAAATTATGGAGTGAGGCATGTATGAGACTGAAGTGGGGACACCTGGAACTCCACCTGACATGTTGACTGTGATTTGGAGCTAAAGGGGAGACACAGCATTTGCTGAGAATCTTGAGCTTGTAGGAGCGAACAGAGCGATCAGACAGAACTGATACTGGGTGAACAAGAAAATGAGAATTAAGAGGAACCGCACTGTGAATAGCTAAAGAGAGACGTGAAGTTAATCTGAATGGAGAAGCCAAAGTGGTAAGCATTAGGTTGGGTTAGTTCAGGACCAAAACAAAACTACCTTTCTGGAGTGGAAACTCTTCATTAGATTGAGAGATTTGGTTTTGAAAAGAAAGCCGGCTAGGAAAGGGAACAGAGCTGGGATAGTTGAGAAGGAATGCACTAGTAGGAGTTGCATCTAGAAATTACTCAGAGTTTGTGACCAAACAGAGTAAATTCAATAGCATTCTGCAGAAGATTTGTTGCCTTCCTAAAACACGCAAACTCATGTGAACTATTTGCGTGTCCCCATCTCCTTTAAGAAAAGAAAGTTCTGTATCTGGAACATGGTTTGTGTGGTTGAAACCAAGTCAGACACAAGCAGAATTAAATATACTAGTACAAGTGTAATTTGTTTACTTATACTTTGTGAATAAACCCCAGTTATTTTAGTTTTCCCTAACTCTGTATTCCATTCAGTGCAATAATGACTGCTCCCATGAGGTGTGTCTCCTTAAGTATGTTATTTTTCTTCTCACTCATTGGGTAAATCTGTTTTCACTATGTCCTAAATCTGTGAAATTTGCTAATCCCTGTAACCCAGGTGGTTTATCGGTCATTAACAAATATGCTTACTAATGCTTTGTGTGTTGGGGTACTCCTTTTCCTACAGATACTTGACTAATGATGTTGTCTTTAAGATCTGTGCCCTAATAACGACAGTATTTGGAACGGTCTCTCCTTAACGTGCAACTATTCGTACCCAAAATAGGTCCACTTAATGTGTTAAAGGAAGCAGATCGTTTTACACATTGTGCATACACACAGACCATTATGTAACTGACTATACTGTCAGTGCACAACTAGATAAATTAAGACTCTGAATAACTTTGGTTCTGGTTTTCCCTGAATTTTTTTGAGTACTTAACTGTGCCCCATTTGACTTGTCTCTAGGCTGTGTATAAATAAGCAGATACACGGGAGCAGGAATTTGTGGTTGTTACTGTGAAGTGAACTGGTGGCATATATTGACTGTGAGGGAGGGCTGGATATCATTCTGTATGTTGATCCTTCCTTAACTGAAGTTATTTCTTGTTAGGATTTGAAACCCAGCAACATTGTAGTAAAATCAGATTGTACACTCAAAATCCTTGATTTTGGACTGGCGAGAACAGCGTGTACTAATTTTATGATGACTCCGTATGTAGTAACGCGGTATTACAGAGCGCCAGAGGTTATCCTTGGAATGGGATATAAAGAGAATGGTAAGTTGCTGGAGTAACACTTTAAATCTTTTGTCTGAAGCATATCTGTCTTGGAACATAACAGCTTTAAAAGGGAGGCAGGGCTGTTTTCCCCTTACCATGTCTGTTGTTAAAGTATGTTAATGGTGGTATTGCAAATTACAAAAATTACACTGTAATAATTTTGGAGAATATAATTGTTTTCTGCTCTGCGTGCCTATCTCCATTTAACATATACTGCTCCCTCTCCCCTGCCATTGTTATTTTTTCATATGTTGTCTTGTTGCCATTTGTTTTATCCTACAAAATAAACCTGTTGAGACATTTATGCTGGATGATGTTAAAAAAATTATCTACCATCAATCTATAAATAATAAACCCTTTTATCAATGTGATTTTATTCTGAAGCATCTTCTTTCAACAGTCTGTCCCCTTTTCTGTCTCTGATTACTTTATTAAAATCTGTTTCAGATACCTATGATAAACCATGTCTTATACTCTTTGAAATCTGCATAGCACTCAAAGAGGCTGAGTGTTACATTATTAAAAACAACACAGCTATAATATAGTGAACATTCAGCCAACAAAATTGCTGGCAAGGAAATTGTCCTTGACGTCACATTATTGGGGGTTTTACCTGCTGATTTTTACTAGCTGTGAAGTGGCATGCTGCCCCTTCTGGCCTTCTATGCTAGGACCTCTTTGTGCTTTATCACAGGGGCTTGGGGATACCGTGCTTTTGTATACTTGTCACTTTGGCTGTGTAAAACAAGGGACTCGTAGGACCTCACTGGGCCACTGATAATGAAAAAAAAACAAACCCTTTCATTAATGTGCAAGGCAGCTTGTTGTACGGCAAGTGCTGATGTGGATCGGAACTTTGGTAGACTCTGTTCTGGATGGGACAAAAACATAAATTATCTGAAGGACTGTAGGAATACAGTGTGAGCATACAAATAACATAATTGTGATATTTAAAAAAACCCTCTTTAATCTTTTGTCCTTGTTGCACCTAACATATGATAGTGGATATCTGGTCTGTTGGGTGCATTATGGCAGAAATGGTCCTCCATAAAGTCCTGTTCCCAGGAAGAGATTGTATCCTTCTTTGTGGTTGTTTCAGAAATGTAAACACTGATTGTATTTTACAAAATGCTAATAACAAAAATTTAGCAGCAGTCAGTTGGTGCGGATATGATTGAAAATTCATGTTAGCAGTTTGGTTTTCCACATTGTTGTGTTTTATTGTAGATGCTAGATGTTTTTGTTTGTTTTCCTCACTTTTGTTCATGATACTTCATAATTTGATCATTTCATTTTTACTTTCAGTTGATATCTGGTCAGTTGGGTGCATCATGGGAGAATTGGTGAAAGGTTGTGTGATATTCCAAGGCACTGATCGTATCCTTCCCTAGTCATCCTTGAGTCCCATTCCACTTTCAACAGAAACACAATTATTTTGATCTGTATAAGTATAAAAGCATAAGCAATATTTTCAATAATATGTTTTAATAGATCTGCTGTACTATTTGAAATTAGTGTCATTAACCAAATTGTCGAGCTTACCATTTTATTTTCTTAGTAGGCTATATTTAATGTAATTTGTACTGGTTGAATCCATAGAATTTATATTAAGAGCTTCAGCTTTTGTAGCTTAAAACTGTTAGGTTTAAAAAATAAATAGCAATAAGTATATTTTCTTACTCTTATTCTTTGTTGATAAGTCTTATAAGCAAAAGCCTACAAAGTTACTTCTTACTATGCATGGGTTTTGCTTACTATTTGTTTGAACAGTAGAGTAATTTTTTTTATTGTACAATTTTTTGAGTTTCAATCAGATTTTTCTTCTTGCTTATTAGCACTTGCTGGCCAGCGGTGTCCTGATTGCAAGCACACTGCATGAAAAATGGTTTTTTTTATTACTATTATTTATTATAAAAGAAAAACCTTTTTCTTTTTGGAGGTTTTTTCATTCTGTGAAAATTTTATTTTGGGCTTACTTTTTCAATAAGATTGTTATTCCTCCATTCCTCCCTCCAATATTTTTGACCCAAATTTGTCTCCATAAAATTCTGCTTTCTTGTACGATAGTAATTGTAGGAAATTTTTCTGTATTAAAAACAAACAAAACCCTCCTATATATATTCTCATACCTTAGAGATTGGAAATCTCAAGAATGCATCCCTGGATCACAAACAAGTCTTTACACTGTATTAAGTGAACAGAAGCGATCAGTTAATGATGTAAATGTTCTTTGAAGATTTTGATGTGTTTCAGAATATTTCCCTAGAAACAAAATTTAAAACATTTGACTCATTATCAAGTTTCAGTTATAAAAATTGGATCAAAACAAATTTCATCCTTTATAAATAATATCTTATGAAGTAGTAGTGTTGTGTAGAACAAGACATTCAAAATTGATCAGTAAATAAGTAGAATCCACACAATGTAATTAAACTTTAATTACCAGTTATGGCTGTAGGTCATAAGGAGCCATAGCTACTTGTGGTCCAAGATTTTGAAGAAAGTATAATATTTTTGTTTGTCAGCAAGGAAAAGTTGAGTCCACCACTAAAAATATCAAGTACATGTCCACAGATACCTATGTATCTCATAGAGGAGGACTTTCAATTTTAATGCTGAATTTCATGACACTAATCTTCAGCAGTTGATCATGCTTTATTTAATGGTACAAATGATTAATTGTTAAATAAGTCTTTTTGTTTTCCACCTTTCTTCCTTTCTATACTTATTGTTTTACCTTTTGAAGCCTTCAGACCAACCTAACACAATTCTTCATGTATGTTCTGTGTCTTTCACCTGCATGTTAGCATGGACTACTTTGATTTATTCATGAATAAATGAAGGAAATTTTGTCTATACTTGTTAAATATGCAAGTTATAACTTGTGCCTCTCTGGAGGTCACTGAAGCTCCACCAGTCTATGTTCCAAGGAGTCTCCTCCCTCGGTTTCTTATCAAAGGGCATGCTTACAGGGTTTTTCCCTGGCAGTTCTCTTTTACGTGAAATACAGGTAACTGTGTTGTTGAAACTCTTCCTGACTGGTAACTGCTTCAGTCAGATTGTTTTCTTTTATCTTCAGCTGCAGGATTGTTTTGAGAGTGTGGTTTATGAGGAATGCTGGTGTGCATGGCCGTGAAGCTTTCTGTTCTTCTGTGTGTGGGGTTTTTTGTATTTACTTAAATTTTAAAATGTCTTAGTATTTGGAGATTTAGAGCAGGGACCCAACTTCAGCATGTTGCCTAATGATGTGTCCTTGACTATTTCCTGGAAAACCTACTCTTGTATTTCCCCATGTGGTCGACGGGGATTGCCAGGGTACTTGCAGCAGGGCTCTGGCTGGACTGAGATGCTCTGCCTCGCCTGGGTGAGGGATGCACCGAGCCTGCTCCTGACTGGTGCTGTGGAGGACAAACAGGGCTCTTCACAGTTACTGGCATTTGCTGTTGTGCTGGAAATGAGAAATCTAGTAAAACTGGGCAACATAGAGACCTGGGATGAAATAATGGAAAGCCTCACAGCACCAGGGTGTTTCTAATGCTCTTTTGCACAGGGGGTGAGGGAAACTAATTGCCTGGCTGATACAAAAAGCATGATGGGGTATTGATGCTTTCTTGGCAAAAATCATGCTTTGTTGTGATTATAATAAGACCTTATTTCCAGCTTCTCTTGCAGACTCCCAAAAAGTAGGCAAGCATACTTGGCATGGACTGAACTGTTCTGGTTGTTTTTCACCTTGAGGTCACTGGAACAGGAAGGGTAGTTTTGTCTGCGGGTTGCAAGGTTGTTCACATTGCACGCTCTGCGTGCTTTACGCTGAAATTAAGGTTTTCTCCCAGTTGGGTTTCTGATAACAGGCTTAGCTTATTTCAAGTCAACTCTATACTGGGGAATTTTATTATTTTTTTTTTTCAGTATCTGTAAGGTACTTTGAAGCAATCCAACGGAGACATTGGGTTTTCCCCAGTTTCTCTTACTAAAGTGGGATAGGTCATTAAGTGTTTCTGCCCTCTCCCCAGTGCTCTGAGACCACAGTAGACTGGACTCTAATTTCATTAGCTGAATAGCTGTTCCTCAAAGAAAAAGCATCTTCTTGGATCTAGATTGGTGGAGATCTCACAGAAACCAGTTTTCCAGCTAGGAACAAAATTTCCTGATGTATGTTAAAAGTTTCTTTGTATGTGCTTTGTTTTAGCATGAGAGTTAACTATATTGATTTCTTAATTTTGATTTTAATATAGTTTTTTCCATTGGAATGTATTCAATAAGCAAATATAATTTTCAATCTTTGTATTAGAAGGCTAAAGTCTTAGCATGAGCCAGTGACTATGCATATATTTCTAGTTGTATTCTTTGGACACTAACTGCAATAAAAGCACCTCCGTGGTTTTTTTAAATACATGTTAATTCAAAGTGCAGCAAAGTTCTTGTTTTGTTACAAAATCTGTCTATGAGAATGGACAGGGTGAAGTGCTAGTTTATGAATTTAGCTATGAATGTTTGCAAGGTCGATGGTTAGACTACTGGAATTGCACATTCTTTTAATCAGAAAATCTGTAAAGTGTAAATCTGAGTAAACCTAAATATCAGGAATACTAATGCAGTGTGTTCTGTGTGATAAAAGAGCTTTGTTATCCCGACTAGGCTCGTTCAGAGCAGACTCTGGTATCTCTATAACAAGTGTCACCATGTCTAGGGCAAATGTCTTCACTTGGAAGAAGGAGAAGGGATGGTCCAAAAGAAACGCGAGGCACAGTGTCAACTTGTGGCTTGTAAATGCAATTCCTATCAAATATTTAAATTCTGAATTTAAGAACAGAGTAGTCTGAATATTAGCACAGCTGATACACTTAAACAAAAGAACCTGCTAAAAACCTACAGGAATCTGGATTCATTGTTCAGAACCCCTTTAAACCCTTTCTGAAGCTGAAAATTAAAAAACAAAAACAAAAACAAAAAAAAAACAAAACAAAACACCCCAATCATCCAACCAATACCCACCCCCCCAAACCCCTACAACCCAAAGCCTGATTTCCTTAGGAGACAGGCACAAAATATCTTACTTTGAGTGGGACATAGTTGTGCTTTAGGTTTTTTCATGTATTTTTCCCTATCTTCAAGAAACATCAGTGTAGATGGTATGTTGTATTTTGGAAGATTCAACTGCAGCCTTTTTCTTCTGTCCCTATAGTTGTTTTGCTGTGGATATAATTGCCAAATAAAGCTTCTTATGGACTCCAAAAAGTATTGCTTTCAATACTACCCAACAGATAATAATTAGCAAAAGGTATTTAAGCATAGTACCTTGTGCAAGTACTTCTAGCCTGTCCTTAGGATTACCAAGTCTGAATCTTATTTTTATGTCAATCTAGCTTTTTACATGGCAGCTCAGAATACTGTTGATGCTAGAATGAAGTTCATGTGTGTGTCCTTTGTTCAAGTTTTCGTTAACTTTTCAGATTTCTGTAAGTGATATTTTTGTATAGTGCAGATTTCAAATTCTTCAGCTGATTTTCCTAAAGATATGGTGCAGATATTGATCAATGGAATAAAGTTATTGAACAATTGGGAACACCATCAGCAGACTTTATGAAGAAATTACAGCCTACAGTGAGGAATTATGTAGAAAACAGGCCAAAATATCCCGGTATTAAATTTGAAGAGCTCTTCCCAGACTGGATATTTCCATCAGAATCTGATCGTGACAAGTTAAAAAGTAAGGCGATTTTTTTCTCGGTTTTAAAAGATGTTAATTGAAAATGTTTGCAATACACTTAATTAAAAACAAACAAACAAACAAAAAAACCACAACACCCACCCCCCCAAAACCCAAACAAACCACAAAACGCCAAACCTAATAATGTTTATGGCTGTCAACATTAGAAGCTGCATACTTTCTGTTTCTTTCCTTTATGATGCGTCCTGAAATGTTAGTAGTGGTCATTAAATACAGAACTATTTTCCTGTTCCTAGTATTCCGTTTAATTCTCTTAATTCTAATCTATTGAATAATGTATGTCATGTAAATATTCTCTGAAAGTTATACTTGTTATGGAGGTTATTTGCAGTTATCTTTCTCTAGTTGATATGTGCATATAGTTCATTTTGGCTATACTTTTATTTTAGATAATTACTGATAAAATGAAAAAAAAACAAAACAACCCACTTTATTGTATTCCCTAGATGGTCAAATAATTCTTTAAACATAAAATAACTTGTTACAGCCTATTTTATTATTACAGTGATCATTTAGACAAAAGTCAATGAAGTGTTACTGCAACAACGGGTAGCCAGCTACTGTGCAGTAACACCTTTAAAAGAAAAACTAATTTGATGTTAGAGATATTAGGTTGTTACTGTACCGAGGTGGGTTTTTTTAAAATTTATTAATAAAGTTTTGTGTTTTATATTCAGTAGTTAGTGCCAAATAAACTGTGACCCACGGGACAACAGAACTGTTCGAAATTGAGGTTGGCTGGTGTCAGCTGCAGGGTTTATGTTTTAGATAATACTAAAATAACATTTACAGTAAAGGATTGTGACTTTATTAAAAGAAAAAAGTAACAGCACAGGGAAGTTTGCATCTTTGGACCTGTTCTGACAGTGCATGCTAGTGTTTCTGTGTATATGGCAAGATGCGGAGCTTTAGTACTACCCAGTTGATTTAAAACTGGTACACAGTGAGGCTTATCTAACCCTATAAGATTAAAAGTTAAGTATTCTCATGTCGCCAATAAGTGCAACTTGTTGAAAGTCATAGATGCTTATGAAATCTGCCGTGTGTCATCTGTTCCCAGTATTTGTTTTGTGTCAGATATTAAACTCTACAGCTCTCTTACACCTGTGTTCTCTTCATTTTTACTTTCTAGCCAGTCAAGCTAGAGATTTATTATCAAAAATGCTTGTAGTAGATCCAGACAAGAGAATTTCTGTAGATGAAGCCTTACGTCACCCTTATATTACTGTCTGGTATGATCCAGCTGAAGCAGAAGCTGTAAGTTTGCATTTAAAATAATTTTTAAGATATCAGTTCAATACCTTCAAAGAATATATTGTTGTAGTCAAGAGCATGCTTTGAACTCATTCTTTGGCTAGCAAAAGTCACAGATAAAGCCTTCAGATCAACAGTAGGGGCAAAATTGCCTGAAGAACAGCTGCTGGAGTAGAATTTATATAGGTTTGAACGTAGTTGTTCATAGTTCCCTTTACCTTATGGAAGGAGTTGCCTACGTGGTGGTAATCTAGGACGTTTTAAAAACGGGACTTTCGTTAGAGCCCCATAAAACCTTATGATGAGTTTCATCTTAGTTGATGCTTTTAAACTGCCTTTCAGTGGGAGGTGGGATTTAAAAGCAGATTGTGGAGTTGTAAAATTAATGTAGTTTTGAGGTATAGGGAATAGACTGCCAAAGATAAAGGTAACAGAATGCTAAAAAAAAGTCATTTTTAGTTGTGATTGGTTGTGTTAATCTCATGTAGTAGATACACTATAGACTTGTTTTTCTTTATAGCCTCCACCTCAAATCTATGACGCACAATTGGAAGAAAGAGAACATGCAATTGAAGAATGGAAAGGTAAAAAGTGAGCATGACAAATGACATTTATTGTAATAGCTTTTATTATTAATGCTTATGTGTGTGCTGGATTGTGTAACTGACTGGAACCCACTATTCCAATTATGCAGTACTACTTTTGGCAATATGAAGAGAAATCAATAATAGAAAAATGTTGTATTTGGAGTGAATATATATATGTGCGTATATGTACATGTAGCATTCTGAAGTCCGTTCAACAAAATGCCACAGTTTTCATGTTTTTTCTTGAGTATTTCCTGAGTGTTTGTAATCTTAATGGGTTTTTTCTTGGCAGAAAATTCCCCGAGAGAGAAACACGTGACTTTTCTAGTGTGCATTATTTAAGCCACATCTCTCGACAATATTTACTAATTAATTTTTTTCTTGAGGTCATAAATAGCAGACAAGTTTTTCAGTGTCTCATCATTGCTTATTTTTTTGACTAAATAGGTTAAACTGTTGACCTAAACAAAACAATAAATGGCATCGTGGTGTTGAAATCAATTACATCTTATAGTTTCAGCCAAAAATGCTAAGTGGTGAGGCTGTTCTATTTATTATTTTTTTTTTTTTTTAAACATTTACCATCGCAGGACCAAGAGGGATAGACCTCTTTGCTGACTACTTTGGAAGTCGCTTGTTTTTGTAAAATAGCTTTATAAATTTCAAGTACCGATTCCAGTTTATGTGTATATTCTTTAGGGCATGTCCGCACAGGTACACTTCAAATCATTTTAGATTAATGCAAGGTGGAAGATTAAGGTGGATCAGTTAAATCTAATTGAATCCGTTTGTAAGTGTTATTACTCAGAATTAAAGAGGTCTTAATCTATTTAAATATTATGTTATTCTTAGTTACGTTAAGATTGTGCGTTCATACAGAAGCTACTGTGAGTTAACTGAAGGTATAACTTGAAGTGCACCTGCTGCTCTGCAGCACTGGTGATCCTTTTGCTCTAGAAGGGGCCAAGGTAACCCGTCTGGCGTGTACCATACTACAGTCGTATGAAACAGAATAGTGAATGCTCCTTTAAAGTTACAGCTCTGATTATTTTGTTGTTGTTGAGGTGCCTGTATCCTGAATCACCCTTGATTAGTAAATGAGGGTTTTCGTGCAATATTTTAATTGTTTGTTTAATCTACTTCAAAATGACCAGACTTTCCTCAATGTATCTATGGAGACTGTTCTTTAAGAATAAAGACATTTGTGTATGGTTTTGTTATCAAAGTAAAATTGCCACAGGATTTATCTATAAGTTTTTTAACTCTGTATCTGATACTTTTTTTTTTTTTACAGTTAATATTAGTGCATTGTAGTTATATATAAAGTTTTGGGGTGAGATAGTTGTTATTTTTACGTGGGCAGCTATTCTATGTAAAAAATATTTTTATTTTGGTGCATGCTTAGTGTCTTTCTGTGACGCATAAAGAAAAACTGCAGAATTTTCTAATCATTGCCATAGGCCTTTAAAAAACAGAAAAGGAAAACAAATACCTGTATAGTTGTACTTCCAGGCTGGCCCTTAACCGTTCCATTGTACCTTTACGCATATGTAAATTGTATACAAATCCTCTGTGATCTTACAATGTGTTTTTGTCTCTTCCCTCATTCCTCCCGCCCTTCTCTTAAGAATTAATATACAAAGAAGTAATGGATTGGGAAGAAAGGAGCAAGAACGGTGTGGTAAAAGATCAGCCCTCAGGTTAGTCATTGTTTCAGTAGTTCTCCTGTAACTGTGATACATAGTGCTGATCTGTTGCACTCGTGAATGAAGATTTCCTGCTTAATGATCCAGGTAGGCAAAAGTTTTGTTCTTCAAGACTCGTGATCCATGTGCAGTAGTTCTTCATTGTTACGGAGTAAGTTGTAGGAAAACTTAAGAAGTCTTGTGTCTGCAGCACCCTGAGCTGCCATCTCCCCGAAGGGCTCAGTCATCCAATGGAATGATCAATGATGGGCTACATCAGCTATTGCAGAGATGTCTTTTATGCTGAATGCTTATTCTGTGGCTCTGCGTGAATGAGTCCCTTTCATGCAGGGTTAAACATCATTAGGGCTCCTTGTTTTAAATAGTTAATAGTGCAAAGTATTTATGTCTGATTGAATCCTTGATGTTTGCTGCTGTTTTCTTGGTTCAGTAATTGGAATATTGCACTGTCTTTTATTAACTATATCTGTTAGATTTCTTGATACTCAGATTACTATTCACATTGTACATTGCATGTTTTTGCTTTCCTCCTCAGAGAGGGAGAAAAATCAAACTGTCTTATCTTAATGTTCACCTTGGGTTTTGAGTGCTAGGGAACTTAGTGACCGCTTTTCTACTGTTGATTAATTTCTTTATTTTCTAAGGATTTCTGTGGGGAAAGTGATGCTCAGAGCCTAGTAGTATGGTTATTTGTACCTGCAATATTGTCTTGCCTCAGATTTTATTATGTTTGGTTTACTTAGCACAGATGCAGCAGTGAATAGCAACACCAGTCCTTCCCAGTCATCATCTATCAATGACATTTCATCCATGTCAACAGAGCAAACATTGGCCTCAGATACAGACAGCAGCCTCGATGCCTTGACAGGACCCCTTGAAGGATGTCGATGATCAGCCAGGATTGCAGACTTGACTTCGGAAAAGAACTCTTGCTTCCATTGGGCCTGAATTGCTTGTAAGTTAATGGAACCAAGTAGAAAAACTCCATGTTCTGCATGTTCTGCTAAAGTAATGCCTGTTTTTTTTACTCAGTTGTTATGAAATTGCCTGCTTAGTGTTGTAGAATGAAAGCAAATCAATGTCTAAAGAACAAAAAAAAATAGACAGTATTATAGGCTTTTCTTTGTTTCAGCCTATTTCAGGTGAGCAGTTATAACAGACTTTTAGCCAAAAACTCCTCTTAAGTGGATTTATGGTTCTTCAGTCCCAACTGGCAGGCTTCTGTGACACAATGGTTGTTTACATTTTAGTACAGTATTGCTTGTTAGTAGGTTTTTTGAATGTATAGTCTCTATGAAATTTGTTTTAACATGTGACTGCGGCAGTTTGCTTTATCTAATGACTGGGGTGTTGTATGTAAGTGTGAACTCACACGTTGAACGCTCTCAGTACTATGTTTAAGGGCAGTTATTCTTCCACGTAGCACTTTTTTTATTGAGCCCTTTCTATCTTCGCTTTGCAACGAATCTGTCTTCTTGTAGAAGAGATAAATGTGAAGCTTGAAGAATATAGCCATTACTTTGTATTTCACCTATGAATATGTGTCTCTAACTTTTTCAGTTTTTTAAACGTGGATGAAAGATACAGTGGCTTAATTAAATCTTAAGGAAGGATGAGTGACTTATCTGTGAAGCAGTGCCTGTTTAGAAGAGGAGAGAATGCTGAAATGTTCTGTATTTTCTAACTTGTGATTCTGGACCTTTAACAAAAACAAATAGAAAAGGAAATTATTATCTGTGATGCTCTTCATTCACTGCAAACTAATAAAAGGACAGATCAATTGCAGCCTCAATTGCAGATCAACTTGCAGCCTCAAAAAGAGCTGTGTAAATGTTTTCCATTTTTTAATGGGTCCTTTGTACCTAGCAAGTAATTAAAGAAATAAAAATACGGTAGTTTTGAGTCACTTGTAAATTAAGTACTTAGTTAACAGAGCTTAGTTCTATTCCCATATTAGGAAAACCTCTCTGATGGGGGAGGAAAACATACTTAATATATATTTTCTAAATACAGTGTCAGAGGAGTAGATTATTTGCTGTTTCAATACGGGCTTATCAATACAGTTTTCAGAATCAGATAATACAAACATTGCCTGTTATATTACGCAATATGTTGAATAGAAAATGTGTTTGCAGCAGAGTAGGGCTTAAATTGCTTTATACTACACACTTCTGAATTTGTGCACGTTCACTTTGGAGTGCACAGGTGTGGAATTTTGCTAAAGGATCTTGTGTGTGTGCATGCATGTGAGATTAAACTATGTAACTATAAGAGTAATAGAGATGTACAAGATGAGGTAAAACACCACTTTCTTAAAGGCACTATATTTAACTGTTGATCCAGATACTCTTGACTTGAATATATATACAGAACTTATAAAATACACTGGCCCAGCCAGCCACTGCATTACTGACATATTTCTTTTCTAGAAGAAAATTGTCTGTTGTTTCTGACCTTAACATTTGAAAAGGAGCAATTTATCTTTATGCAAGCATTGCTTTTCCATTGAAATTGTATCCCTTTAAAATAGCTTAATGTGCTGTAGCAAAAATATTAAGGTTTTACTGTCCCAGAAGGTTTAAAAAATTAACAAAGTATGGTGTTAACTTCAGAATTGTCACCTGGAATCTTGGATTTTTAAAATCCTGTTTAATTGAATTGCAGGATACTGGGGCTTGGGTTTTTTCCTGTTGTTTGGTTTTAAACCTATGGATACCTTAGTTTATCTTTTGGATACTGATGGTATATGTGAAATAATTTTAGTGCATTTTTGTCACTGGAAAAAACATTTAAAAATACCTGTTTATCATATAGCAGAACAGTAGAGGTTACGGTTCTTTTGCATTTTTAAAATCCTTGTTATTTGCGTAAGCTAAAATTACTAAAGACACCTATTCCAAATGAACATTAGTGATTCACTATAGAAGTAATCTACTGGACTTCATTTTCCAAGATTTTTATCGTTTTCAAGTGAAGTTGCACTGTGCTGTGCTCATTTTAACAGTTACTGCTTTAGAAGAATGAACGCAACAATTATTTTCCGTGCCCCCCCACATGTGTTTTGGATATTCACAGAGTTGAATTTTTCCTATTGGACTTGGGCTGCTCAGAACAAGAGGGGGTTGGACAAAATGACCTCCGGGTCTCTTCCAACCTAAATTATTCTGTGATTTAAATTGTCTTTTAATACACTTTTTTTAACACAACTCCCCTATCTCCACAATTTGAACTGGTATCTGGCGTTCTCCTAGTACATACTGTTAGCTTGAATATGTACTCTTGGAACCAAAAAAAACCCTGAGATTAACTGAGTTTATTTGTAAATCCTGTTGTAGGAAAAGCTGTCTCATACTTATTTTTTCAGTGTCTTCTTGCTGTGGCATAAATTGACGCTTCACAATTTTACAGAACTGTTGCTTCCTTCAGAGCATGCTTGAAATGTCTGTCAATATTGTGCATTTTGATTCCAGTATAATTCAAACCCAAATTGCTATAATAACCTGAAGAACGTTGGTCTCAAGAAGGCACATATGCAGATTATATTCAGGAAAACGCATGCAGAATAGATGCATGCTAAAGTTCCCGTGCTATTTCAGTGTGCACATATAGACTATAAATGCACTGCATGTAGATTATATACATATAGTCGTATTCCTGACTGCGGGTTAAATTCAGTGCCACGTTTGTGAAATGCTTGTCAAAGCCGTGAGAACCTCATCATTGATAGAAAACAACATGCACATTTAATGGGACAGGGGCTTTAAAAGTTTAGAGAGTTTGGTGTGCAATATAATCACTTTTATTCCTAATACTAAAATCATGTGTGTAAAGTGATGCAATTGACCATTTTTTTTGCACTTTGGCATTTATAAATATTTATATGTATTTAAAGATTAAGAATATGTGGGTGTGTGTATACATATATATTTAAAAACCTGCTCAGTTTTGTAAACATGAATGTTACTTTTTCTTTATGAAAGACTTTGTATAGTGTTAACACTACTGCAGTATACATAAACAATTTATGAAATATGACTAAAAAGAAGTGGTAGTCAACATAGATACAATCTTTAATCTTAACTGCTCACCTGAAAAAAAAAAAAGAGGGTTCTATGGCTATCAATCAGATTATTTACCAGAAACATTATGTTAAATATATGAACACTGAGTAGCTGAATGGCATTGCAGAAATGGAGTATGTTTTAAACAGTTCATTTCACCTGTGCTCATATCATTTTTCCTCAAAAAAAAAAAACGTTAGAAAGAAAAGCTTGCTGTTTTGAAATCTGGATAAGCAGCTTAAAAGTGTGCTTTGAGGAAATATTGTGATATGACAAGTCTAGTTTTTGCTGAAAAAAGATGAGAAATGAATGTCAAAATTAAGGCTTTGTCTGCATGGCTCGTACACAATAAACTGGTCTAATGGCTGGAAACTAGTCTTTGCAAACAGCCTTTGAAGTTTTGTCATGTTTCCGGTAAGGGTTTGCATTTCCTTGTCAAAATAATGAAAAATAAAATCAACCTTAACTAGAAATTAACTGGTTGGTTGGTAAGTTTCAAAAACTGTTAGGAACCAGAGGGCTCTTGAGGTTTTATTTGTCTTTTTTAAGTCCTAACAGGGCATATGTGTCTATTCAAAATTAATTAAAAAGTGGTTCTTTACATTTAAGTTTTCTTTCCGAAAGGAAGGACCTTAAGTGCTAAATCAGTTTCCTTTTTAGATCTGATTGTATTTGGCTTAAAATTATAATTTTATGAATGAAGTGGGATTTGCACATTCAAAATACAGCTGACATAAGTCTCCAAGAACTGAGTGATGACCCTGCTTTTGCAGACGTGCAGCCCTCTGGGTTTGGTGTGCAGTAGAGGTTCAGACGGTGAAGTGCAGACAAATCTTTACTGAACATAATGCCGTTCCGCAGTCCGGGTTCAGTCTTGCAGCAATACAGTTTGTGTGGAGTGTTTCATTTGAATCGTGACACTTGAAATGGAAGTACTTTAAGCGTGGTGGGGGGTAAATGCTGAACAGCCTTTGTCTGTATATTCTACATATGTCATATGGATTCGATCAGGGCTTGATGCTAAACTTAGTGTGATACCGTATACTGGGAACCAAATTCTTTCCTGGGATGTGTATTGTGTAATTCCTGTTCAAAAGTGGTTTTGATCCAGGGACGCCTGCACCCAGATGCAGAATTTGGACTTGATGAATCTAGTGATTTCTTTGCTTTTTCCAGAGTGTCTTTGATTATTTTTTTTTAATGCGTTGAAATATGACAGAAAAAGTGTATTCTGGGTCATTATTTTACATATATTTTAGGTTGTCTATTACATGAGTGATTGTGATGTTCTAAAAGCTTATTACACAACTTATCAGTTTTATTTTTTTGCCCGCTCTGCATGCTAAAAATGTCTGGAGCTAAACTAATATTTTAAGTAAAACATCTTTTCTCATATTAGTGTTGCAGGAAAGTGGAGAGATAACTCTTGTTTCTGTTTGTGTTCTATAAAATGACTATTTTTGTAGCTAAAATTTTAGTTGTTGGATCTCAATCCCACAGTGTGGCTTTGTGGATATAAATTTACCTGGGTCCGCTATTTCAAACAGTATATGTATAAGAAGTCCAGTATAAAATTAAACAAATAAAATGCACTCTTCTGCAATTTGTTATTGAAAATATGGCAAATTATTTTGGTCCAAGAATTCAAAACAAAATAGAGAAAATGTTTAACTATTTACATTTTTATTCCTTGATGCTGCTGCTTATTTTTTGAAAAGGTGCTCGCAGTTTTGCACAAAAGAAATTGACTTTATTAATTGCTGGGTTTGAAGCACTTTAGGATTCTTCTTAATACAACCAGTATATGGTGTAAAAAGGAATGACATAAAATACGTTTAATGTGTTTAAATTTTGGTTGCAATCTTTACTATTCTGATAGATTTGATCAGCATGTTCCTTTAAATAGAAACCTGTTTTCAGAGATTTTTTTAAATTAGATTTTTTTTTTTATTTATGGGCTGAAATTTAACACATAGTAAGAGATCATTTGAGAAACATAGTGTACTCAAACGCCCGTAGGCTGACTTGAATAGCAGTGG